AACCTTCTAATCCCAGGCACAGAAAATTGCTGAGCCACACGCCACCGCCCCCCCCCCCCACATTGTCCTAGAGCGGGGGTGCTCAAACTTTTTGATTAAAGGTCCACACCAGATTTTTGTTCAAAAGGTCAGAGGTCCAAAACAATAACCTCAGGCATCAATATTTAACAAAAATGTGAACGTTTTACTGCTTGCTAATTGTTTTGACTCTGTGTTAATGGGGGAGGGGGGAATTTGGTGGTTCTATACTGTATCTTTGTACTTCAGCCCATGTTAATCCTTTTGACGTTAACTGTATTGATTCATAAATTACATTATCGGCTGGTCTGGATTAATTTGTGGTTCGGTCTCTATCCCTAACGCAGTCTGGACTTTGAGAACCCCTGCTCTAGGGGATTCCCAGGTGTTGCCAAGCCAACTGGGAGATGTAATCCCTCCAGTGTGCGCTGGGTCTGCCCCAGGGTCTCCATCCAGTGGGCAGTGCCCAGAGCAGCTCCAGTGGAAGCCCTCACATGGTATCCTTACAAGATGCCCGAACTAACTCAGCAGACGCCTCTCAAGCCCAAAGGAGCAGCGGTTCCATTTCACAGTCTAACCAGACCTCCAAACTCACCGAGTTACAGAAAGGTTAGCCAGAGAAACTCCTGCAGAGGAACCTCATTTTGCACACTTGTTCTCACAACTCATGAGCACAGGTGAGCAAGGGAGCACAGAGTTACTGGGAAACCGAAATCCTTGCGTGAACCCTAACCCTAACCCTAACCCTAACCTGCTGCCAGGGCACTGGGCCATATGCCCTCTCCAAGGTCACAAGACGCACGTCGATGGTCTCAGCATATTCACCACAACCCAACGGGGCAGAAGAGTTGGTCCACTCGTCTATGACCAACCAGAAATCCACACTGCCCCTCCTGAATCCTCAGGAGTAGCCAGCCAACGATCCAACAAAGTCTTCAACGAACGACGCCATGAAAAGCCGGAGAACCTTATCAGGAACAGGGTTACCGGGACCCTCCCCTGGAACTACGTTGGGGGGGGGGGGGGTTTGCCAGTGATCCCCTGGTGACTGGGGTGCCCCAGTAAAACAGCTAGGCTACAGATCCGCACAGAGACATCTCGCGGGCTCGCCGGCGACGGATTCAAAAGACATTTAAAAATAACATGATAATAAGGGAACATGTTCAAATATGGGTGAGCAACATATGTGAGTCACTTCCTGGTCGACTTTGGAAAAACACTTTCTGTGCCACGGAGCTGCAGCACTGACTATTAAGAGGCTGAATGACAAGGCTTATTTATTTCCAAATAAGAACACAGAGGAAGCCCCAGGCAAGAATTCAGCACCTGCCACACACAGACACACACAGCTCCATGCCTGTGAACAAAGACAGCCATTGTCAGCCTCTCCTGCTTTTTCTGGTACCTGAACCAAGCTATCGAGAGGAAAATGGCCCACACACCCAATTCTGATTTATGGTTCCCCTAGAAGTGCGAGGCTCATCCACGAAACAAAGATAATACTTTGCAATCGGGCGACCCGCCCAAGCAAAGCTCCAACTCTGCCAGAAAAACAGTCTAGGAGTGTCTGTCTCAGTTCTGCGGTCTGACACGGCGTCGGCTTCTGGAATCGTTTAGATTATCTGCGGCGTATAAAAAGGGGCAATCATCACGGTAGGGGGTCGACCTGCGGTGTACATCTCAGGGGGTTTGAGGGGATGCGAGCTTCACGAAGTCACATAACTTGAGTACACGCCAAGCTACAGACTGATGCTTTGCGGAGCCTAATTACTGCGTGAAAGGCAGCAGTTTTAGGTGATTTTTTAGAGGGGAAGCGACGAAAACAAAAACTTGCGGCAGATAATTGCCGCACAGAGCACAAGTCGAGTACAAAGAGTTGTTCCCTCCTGCCCTGATTGACGTATCCTTTGTTCCCCACAGCCTGAAGCGGTACAGGGCACGCTCTCAGTCTCAGTATCACAGTCATACCTTTCCAGCAAACTTGCTAATAACTAACGACATGCAAATTTATGAGAAGCCTAACCTCTTCTACATAATAATGTGCTGAGAATAGTGTGCGTGCAATCAAAAAATGGGAACTGTCAATGAAACCTCTTTTTTTATTTAAATTAAGAACAGCCTAACGAAGCTGAGCTCACCTAGTAGCACGGAGATATCAAGATCGATTAGTAATGCCTAAGTCCTAATAGCTTAAAACAAGGCAGTGTCTCTCAAAGCGTGGTTTCTCGGTGACGATTCAAATACAAATGTCGAAAATATGAAGATGGGGAAAAAAAATACAAGATGTAAGCCAGTGGACAGCTGGGCCACTGTTGTGTGAGCGTGGCCAGAATTCGGCACCGCTGACAGCTCCGCAAGTGGACTATTTCAGTATCACGGAGAGTGGGGGCTGTCACCTTCGAATGGGAGAACGCGAGGCACATCCAAGAACCAACGACCCTCCGGATCCTGGAGGACAGCCGGAGACACGCCCGGTCACGTTTTTTTTTTTTGTGAGAATCACGTGCGGACCGCGGTCTCCCGCCGCCACGCT